AATAAATATTTAAAAAAAGCGACAAGCTTTTATTTTTTTTAAGCCCACACAACATTTGAGCATATAATAAAATTAATACACAAAAAATATACAATACTTTTATTCGACTTTTTAAGAACGAATCAAAACGGAATATAAATACGTTAAGATTTTAAGTTTTTATACCCTTGCAGAGGGTATTATAATTTCAGTCAAAAGTTTGCAACGCAGTGAAGGAGACATTTCCGACCCTATAAAGTATATATATTCTTGATCAGGATCACCTCCTGAGTTGATATAGCCATGTCCGTCTGTCCGTCTGTCCGTCCGTCCGTTTCTACGCAAACTAGTCCCTCAGTTTTAAAGATATCTGCTTGAAACTTTCCCAAAAGTTGTCTTTCTATTGCAGGTAGTATATAAGTCGGAACGAGCCGGATCGGCCGACTATATCCTATAGCTGCCATATAACTGAACGATCGGAAAGGCCATAACTTTGGTATTTTTAAAGTTAGGAAGTTAGGATTTTTTATGGGTTTTATATTTGGCCAACCAATCCGACGTACCAAATTTCATAAGGATCGGTCGACTATATCCTATAGCTGCCATATAACTGATTGATCGGAAATGCCATAACTTTGGTGTTTGTAAAGTTAGGAAGTTGGAAATTTCTATGGGTTTTATTTTTGGCCAATCAATCCGACCTTTAAGGTTTCATAAGGATCGGCCGACTATATCCTATAGCTGCCATATAACTGAACGATTGGAAATGCCATTACTTTGTGTTTTTAACGTTAGGAAGTTGGGATTTTTTATGAGTATTAAGAATGGATCATATGAATAATTTTGAAGAACATAATTTACAGAATGTTCTGCAAGGGTATTTCAACTTCGGCTCCGCCCGAAGTTAGCTTTCCTTTCTTGTTAACTATAAAACTTGCAGCAATTCTGTTAATATAAAATCTTGAGCAACTAATAGGAATTCACTAAAAGTCCAATTAAAGTCCGTTAGCACAGTAGAATTTCACTCAACAAGAACATTCAAGTTATAACCTCTTTAGTTGGAATAGAATGTCATATTCACAGCTAGAAACACACTTTAATCCGATTACATTGTGTAATAGCACCAAAAATGTGTCCAGCTCCAGTTTCATTGCTACCAGTTTCTCTTCTTTTAGTTTTAAGTGACACAATCCTGAAACTCGGTGTCTACCGCTTTGTGTTTCCCAGAATGTGAAAGGCTTTCAGACTGCAATTGGCCTGCAGCCAAAACGACACTAGTCAAACACGAGAACATTAAGAGGGTGGCAGCTGCCCCCATAATCCTGGCCAAAAAGGAAGGCATTCCTGCAATGGCCCTGGTCACGCACTCTCGTTTGGCATTCATAAATCGCTTACCAATCTGAAATCTTAATCAGATTTGTGCAGCAATTTTGATGGCATTTGGCAGATCCTGCCGACCTGTCCGAACCGTAAATAGCAATTTGTCGGACGAGCAACGAGCAAGCAGCAATCTACGCTCTTGGCCTGAATTAAACGCGTTTTATCGGTGAATTTGCAACTTTGATTCTGATTGGCAGTGTTTGAGACCGGGTCTTCGAACCCAATCGCATAAATGCCTACCATTTATATGGCCAAACTAATTTAATTAGCCTGGCAAATACGCATAAGGCAAACGCAACCACATACTCGCCGGCCAGCTGTTTAGTCAGTTAATTAAATTTGATTTGGCCACACACAAAAGCCACTCCGCCTTCAATTATGCAAGAGACACTACATGCAGGTAGCGCTTTTAGTTTCAATTACCCTTGCAATGCAACTGAAATTGCGCTTAATTATTCAGAGCATGTTCTAATGGAAAACTTCAGTACCAGATAATTCTCTGGCATAGATATCATTTGGACACCGGTCAAGTCAACAAATGGAAGCGAAAGCAAGTGTTGTGGCCAACGGATTGAAATTGATAGTGGTTGAAATTATATCAAGCTGAAGTCATTTAGTACACTCAAAATTTATGCAAGTTATTTTGGCATTAATACATGATTAAATGAATATTAAGAGTAAGTAATTTGAACACATGATTTTAATTGATTAATTAATGTATTATAGGGATATACAAACTTCGTTTCCAATTCTAGCTGCCGGGTGCTTGATTTCTTAATTTAATCATAATAAATTAAACAATAATCTTTAATTAAAGAAAATTTAAGTTGTCAGTAATAAGTATTACCAAATCTTAAAATTGATTTACCAAAAAGCACTTTAGAACGTAGATACCTTTTTATTTTTTCATACATTTTTGTTCTCTGTGAATTATCAAAGTAGCCCAGAAGCTGCCAGAGCCAAGGCTCTAGAATGTTAATGTCAAAATTGAAATTATTATGAAACCTAGTTAAAATATCTTTAAATGACATTTTAAGCTTGGGGATGTGTGACACAGTTAAAGCTCGAAATTTCTCTGCAGTATCAAAACTTATTACTTAAACGAAGTCTTAACTAAACAGCCTACTCCGCCCTTAAGTTCGTGACGTGATACCCCCTTTCCATTAAACTTTTTGTCACTGCAGGCAAACATCATAAAACCCTTGAAAGGTTTTTTACCACCCTCCCCGAAAAAACATAAAACACTTGACCGCTTGACCTAAATTTCCCAACCAGAGCAGGATCAACGACTCTCGTTGACTGTCCTTTTTGGCCCGGTCAAAAGTCAAGTGTCAACAAAATAAGCGGAGGAGAACACGAAAAATGTTTTAAAAATTCCAACACGTAGGCAATTTCTGAATGATGCGCATAAAACAAGCTTTGAATTCTAGCAGCGAGAACTATGAAAGTAAATTCACGATGGAGAAGGGTTAAATCTGAGTCGCCTCATTAGACACTGGCAGCAGTCATGATTTCCACTCAAGCAATCTTCTCACATAACTTGGCCCGAGGCTAGAATTGACGTAAATTGATTTGAGCCCTGATAAATTTCGAATGCCTGAAGGGCTGTTTCAACTGCCACCTGCCTGGAAAAATTAAAGATTTGCCAGGAGCTGACTTGTAGTGTTGCCAAGTTGGCTATTTTCTACAACAAGCTTGATAGAGTACAAAAATTATAAATCAGAAAAATCAAAAATTATTAAAAATCAGGGATTTGTATTTCTGCTTTTAAAAAAAATGTGTAATAAGTTGTAATTTGAATTTTTTATTGTTGGCACTTTTTTTTATAACCAAAATAAAATCTCTGTTTCCCAAAAACCTCAATTTTGACGAAATGATTTAAAATCAATTAAAGAGTATTCTGTACGAAAATAATTCCTAAAATTCACGTTAAAACACTACAAATTGTGTGAGACCTACAGATTCTTATGTTTGATTTCAAATCAACCATTCCCTATGTACCAGATTATCCCAGAAAACACTTATTATACCGTAAATTATTCTTAGCTATTCTGGGGCATACTTTTTATAATGCTTAGCTGTCATCACTGTTGCCTGCTGCTTTTTGCTGTTAGTGTTGATAAGCTCCATGCTCGCACGTACAACATTTTAGCACACTATTTGGGATGCGGGATGCCGGGAATATCCGCCCTAGAAATGTGTCAATTTGGCGTCAAAGACATTGACGGAGCAACAACATGTTTACATTAGCAATAAAACAGGCGCAGTACCATCTGAAATTCAAGATGGGGCCAGATGCCAACGGGATAAGGGAAGTAAGGAGAGGTCCTGAGGTGTTTTCCAGCGCCTCACGTACTCCTGGATGTAAGAATTAGGGGGAGTCCTGGCGGATCATCTCTTACCCAGACCAGACCAGACCAGCCAGACAATAACTATAATTGTCGCATCAGCATTTTTTCCGGACTCTGTCTCAGTCTCACAGCCAAAAAGTATGCAGTAAAACGCGCCAGTCATGATTCGGATTCCGGGAAGGAGGTAAATTCCATTAAACCGACTCAGACAGAGGCGCAGACAATGCCTGAAGGCTCGTCAAGCGATTCCATTTGTAGGTCTGCCACTGACTCGTGCTTCCTGGATCGTTGAGCTGTGAGGGGCATATAAAAATTCTTAAATTAAAGTCAGCACCAAGACGAGTCTGCCTCGGAATCAGATGTTGATGATGGGAGGTTTTTGGAAAGGGGATACAAGTCTTCGGGCTGAAGTGAAAGTTAATGCTGATTAGGAAAATTGAAGTGATAATGTGAGCACTGTGTGGGGTATTTACTTGAAGGCATGTAATTGAAATTAAAATGAAAAACACATGGTAAAAATGTAGAATTAATTGAAAGATAAATTAAAATATTAATATATTTGCATTAAAAATATTGTTATATTTTAATATGAAAAGCTTTTCAAGCAAACTTGCTTTGCCCGTGTTAACTACCACACACCAATACCAAATTGAATCGATAACTTTGGGTTGCCTTACTTCGATTTTCCATTTACAAAAATTAAGCAATAAAAGCATTTCCCCCCTTCAATGACCTCTTTGGGGATAAACAACCAAGTTTCCAATTTCCAGCATTAATTAACAATTTGGTTCATTTGGCACTCGGAGCGGGAATTTGTAAGCAATTTCGGGCACAATAGAGGTGGCATTCCCTGGTCCTGGAATCCTTGTATCAGCTGGCTGCAGACTGGACAACGTTTATTTTACGAGAACATTTTAATCTAATTTAGCACACTTTAGATTTATATTTGCTTAAATAGAAGTTATCTGAATGGCACGTGCCGGGCATAACAAAGAGGCAACAACAAAAGGAAGCGTTCGTGGTCAACTGGCAGTCGAAGATGTGGCCGAAAGGGCAACAAAGGATCCGGAGAAGCAATTTTATTATAGTTTATTTCGTTGGTGGCTCCTTTGGAATATTTCGGAGACGTGTTGCAGTTACCTCGAATGCATTTGCAACAATCCAATTGCACCGCAATTGCAATATTCTTAGAGTAGAACGTTGACCGCTGCTTAAATGCAATCAATTGTGGCAATTGTTCGTCCTTTCAAGGCTGCCAAAGGATGGGATAACCTTGTAAGCGAATATTCCCTAGCCGTAAACGCGACGCAGAAGGGTGAAGAACGAGTAGATGGCGTTCAACAGCGACTGCAGCATTTTCAGGTTCATGGGATAGGTGCCACCCACCAAAATCTAAAGAGGAAATAATAATAATGGTTATCAGCCAGACATAACTCAGTAAGTGTATGAAAAACTTCACCGCCAGGGGCTTTTGTGAACGCATTATGAGAAACTTCAAAGTCTTTTGTGTGTCCACATCAAAGTCCATCCAATTGCTCTCATAGGCGGCAATGGCAATGTCGAAACTCTAAAGGGAAGTTGGGATATTGACGTTATCAAAGAGAAAGTAAAACTCTTACTTGAAAGTACAGTTCATTAGCCACGTAATAGAGTACCACACTATTGGCAAATATCATTACCATGTATGCAATCACTATGACGGTCTGGGCAATTGTTTGAGCCTGTTGGAGGGGAAATAATTAAAAATTCAAATAAATAATTAACCCCCACCACTTACAATCAGCAATGAAAAAAGAAGAACACATAGCATGGCCCCGAAGCACAGGAACTCCACCAAGTGAAGATGGGTATTCAGTGCATTCATGGAGTCCACTAATCTGTAAAAGTGTTAGATATAAACACTCATAATAAATCAAACTTAAGAGTCTTACCCAGTCAATTTCAATTGATATTTTATACACCAAATGATTTCCCCTCGAACTTGTTCTTCTTTCAGCTTTTCTATGCTTTTCAACTTATGTTGCAAGACTCGACACATGAGTATGGCGAAAAGGGTAAAAGTCACTACCATATTTGTATAAGGAATGTACATGCAACAGCCCATTGGGGCCATAATGGCTTGGATCACGAAGAAAATCTCATAAAAGGGAGACGCGTATTTGTACTCATCAACAGTGGGCAAATACATGCCATATGGCAGAACTGAATATATACGAAATTAGCTTGAATAATTATAGAAAACCACGACACTCACCTCTTTCAGAACCAAAAATGGGATAGGTAACAAAACCAATGCAGGTGCAACACCCCATCATCAAATTAATCCTTCCTATAAAAACCGATAGGCGAGTTGTCTCTTCAACCAAAGAAGTGATAGTAGAATCATCTGATTCCTATAAAAATAGATTCATATAATAATCATAGCCTTAATATATTTCTGTTTACTTACCAACAATTCTATATAGAAGCTCTTCAACATCTCTATGAATCGCTCATAACTTGATCGTTGCACGCACAACAAAACACCTCTTACTATGGTGTTGGTAAACAAAACAGCCAGATATACATTTCTGATGATGAAGTCCAGGGATTCGGTGCTCAGATATATATCCACATACTGAGTGCAGTTGATAATCATGTATGGAGCCATTGCAACATACCGACGCCAATTGTGAACGAAGAGATACGACCAGAACTTCATTAGCTTCAGAGTATTCCCGAAAAGGGGCATATCCACTGTATCCATCGATTTCAATTCCATACTACCGTTGACAATATCCACAGAGGTGTGAATTACACAGCCAATGCCGGCTTCGTTTTATAGGTATCCCAGTGATTAGGGGTGGGATTTGTCTGTCTTGTCGTGATGTCATCATTATTAGCATTTAATTAATGGGTTTGCGTCGTGATTATGGGAGGGCAAATGTGTTAATTAGCCCGCTAAAGGCTGTTATTAGAGGTGTAAAGGATACAATTGGATTTCGAGGGTGAAATCATTAAATGAGAACTTAAATTCCCAGTCTTTCAATTGTATATACTTAAAGTCAGCTAGAACTGAAATGGCTTTAAGAGGCTTGCTTCCTAAAAGGGTCCTTCAACTACTTAACTTCATTTAACCAATACCCAGAAAAGCAACCTCAACATCTTCATTTTTCATGGCAGCCCCTCAGTAGTCCGATAAAAAATCTTAATCGGTGGCAATTTGTCTGATGCCCAGCTGAAGGAACCCACAGAAATCCCAAAACCTCAAGCAAACAAAAGGCGTTCAAAAAGCAACCTTTTTCATTAGAACCCAAGGCGGCTGAACAAAACCCACTACACATGTTCCAGACTCCCAATCTGTGTGCCAATTACAAGCCGTAGACCCTCGACTTCTTTGAACTTTGAACTCACAGTGGAGTTGGCCCCCAATATTTATGGCCAAAGAAGCTGAATCATTTGTCATTTAGTTGCGACGGCAGCTAAGGAATTTCTTTTATTACCCAGATAGAGAATCTTAATTGAGTTGCAATTGGAAATATGTTTCGAGTGGACAAAGCAGAGAAAATGTGTTATCAATCACACAAGTTATTAAAGGAAAGAAAGTAGTGCCTTAATTACATTTTAACTTGGCTGAGGGAGATAGATTGCGTATACGCCCTGTGCATCCCCGAGTTTTCCTGTCACTTAAGCTTTATATCAAGGTGTTACTTACGCTTGATTTGCTTTATGATGCATGTGACCACCTCGCCCCTCGTTTTTCAGTCTGGCAGCTGTCTTAATATGAAACTTAGTTAGTCGGGTTGAAAACTGCACTGCGAAAAGTTTACAGGGCTTAAAGAGAGATTTTCTCTCGATGGCACAACGTATTTGGCAGTTAGTTTTTACGTCGGCCAATTATAATTTTAATTGGCAGAACGTGGCCATTAACAGAGGCAACTATAAAAGGCATAAAGACAATGGTTGAGAATTTCTGCCACTTGCTGGGAAAATATCTTAATATTATCCGATATGCTTTAAGTGTTTCCCGAAAACGGAAAAAAATAGAAGAGTTCGAGGAAAACAAGCTGCAGGGCGCACCTTTTTGCGAAAGCGGAAACTAACAAGCAAAAAGGACGAAACAGTTGAACTTGTAGCTGGCAGCTCTTGTATCTTGTATCTCGTATCTGCGACGGGGAAGCACTTAACACGCGTTATGAGGAGCTGCCATCGGGGATTGGGGAAAATGCAACGAGCTTGCAACTTTTCCTAACTGCTAAGTAGGAAAATCGCTCCCAGACAAGACGAAAAAAAAGGGAAAGGATGAGAGGCGGGTAACTACGTGTCATATGACAAGTGAAATGTGCGCAAAATTACTTGTTTAGTTGCGGTTAAGACGCCTCAGACTCGGCCCCACCTTTCTTGGGTTTTGTGTGTTTGCCAGACCAACTACAGATATTTGCATTTCTTGAGGTTTGCTTTATGAATTGCGCCAGTAGTCGTGGATGTGCAAGATAAACATTTGCCACGGCTGTCGGAAAAACCAGCTGAAGTTTGTGGCAAAACTAAATTAGAGGCGACGATGAACGGGAGAATTTAATAAATGGAAATGGGTTTTATTAAATTCTGTTCAGCAATTTTTATGCCCTTCACGTGGTGGATAGCCAACCCTCGAGGCAGGGCAAGAGGAAAGTTTGTGCCACTTTTCTTTTTCTTTCCATTGTTGTTTCCCCCCATATATATATACCTCGGGGGATGTCATTTGGAGGCGGCAAGTGTAAAAATTAAGCAGCCAAGAGGCGAGGCAATGAGTGAGATAAAATTACATGGGAGGTTGGATGTTGGATGGAATGCGAGGCGGGGTAGCTAAAAGTAATTGTAAAGTATGCTAAGAGGCGTGCCTTGGCAGCCTCAAGAGATGCGTTTCCTTTTTCCGTTTTGTCATCACAAGATACAAAGGAAGCGGCAGTGAGCGGAAAATGTGGAACAAGGTTGATTCACTTCTCCATGTGGGTAATTAGTCTGAGTTTTCCCTTTAACTGTGGCTTAAACAGCATCCAAGTCCAATCCGAAATCATAGTCATTTGGCTTTTCGAAAAGAATCAGATTTGCTTTTCAGAAATCCTGCTGCGTAATGTTGTGAAACTTTTTCAATCAAAAATTATCAAAGCAAACATCAAAGTTGATACAGCAGCAAGAAGCGTCAACAAATTAGTGAAATGGGGAAAAACAGAAAAGGAAAAGAGGGAAACACTGTCAACATGAAAGGGACACCAGAAAAACTTTTACAAGCAAAAGCACAACAAACATTTTCACACCTCATGAGTGGAATTTAAATTTCTGCTTCGCAGAACTTTCTTGACGTGCGACAGTTGTGTTTGTTTGTTTGTTACTCATACGTCCCGTGTGTTTCGCTGGGGTCTGTAAAATTTCATATCAATTTCGTTAGGATTAAGTTATATTTTAGTGCTTGGCAAGGTGTTTATAGCAAGTTGAGTGTGTGCTTTCCCTGCTGAGATTTTGAGCACGTGCTAGTCCTCAAGGCTTTCACACTTTGTGTGTTTTCGCTCTCTTAAGCCGAGTGGAGATTTTGATTCGAACCAAAATATTGATACAGCCTCAAGAGGTTGTGAAAGACAAGAAAAATACATTTGTTTTGGTGTATGCAAAAAAAAAGAGAAGGATTTGTTACAGTAAAAATTAAGATCCAAGAAGAAATACAAGTATAAGATTATATTTCTTGATAAATAAATAAATTCGATAAAATTAAAATAAATAAATTTTTTAAATAGGATGCCAGCCAAACTAGGGATTTATTTATTATTTTACAATTTCACATGATTGCAAAAATGAAGTTGTTCTTCCATCTCATTTCATCCTATCTACTCTTCAATCCGCCACACACATTTTCTTCCCTCCAGTTGCCGCATTGTCATTTCATCATTTTGCTTAATTCAATGAGTTTTGTGACTGAAACTACACACATGTGAGTATGTACTTACCGAAAGCTCCACGGACCCATGGACTTACAAATCATAAAAGTCATGACCCGGACAGTTCATAAAAAATTCGGCCCAGAGCAGCGATTGCCGTACAAACGGGCGCATTACGGCAGTGGGGGTAATATTGTAGGTCTACCAATTCCGCACCCAAATCCCGATTCACAGCATGACCGGCATATAATTCAAACACGTACCAATACAGTGCCATAGAGCTCTGTACACACTATGGTCCTGGGCAAAACGATTTGGCCGACGGTAATCAGGCAATTTCATATGAATAAGTAAGCAGGCAATGCCGCCTGAGTGTATGCAATAAATTTTGTTGTATTACGAATGCGACGCCGGCGCTCCTTATGAAAATTTTAAAAGCCGCCAAACTATGCACCCGACTGTGATTGCTTCCATCCTGCCTACCCGACCCACAATCTCTCTCCTTTTTTGTACCACCCGCAGCCACTACAAGCCGGAACAACAGGAAAATATAAATTTATTACTACGAAACGTGCAGGAGGAGGTCGAGTCAAGGTGTTTATTACTTATTTAGAGCGGCACCGCCTCCAGAACTCCCAAGGAGCGGAACAGGACCTCTGCTCCTGAGATAAGAGAAATGGCTAGAAAGTAATGCAATGTAGTGAGAAAAGCGATACCCTAACAAATGGGTCTTAGGACGGGAGAAAACTTTCTAAGCTCAAAAATATCAAATTTGTATTATCATTTTTATTAATGGGTAAAAACATTACCTGCCATCAAATATACTAACTTGAATATTTTATCCATACTTTTTTATTTGTTTTTTTCTTAACTTTAAAAATCGTTTTTAATTTCAAAATCACTGTGAAAAAGTAGCGATTTTTGTGACGTCTTCATCTAGAAAAATATGTATTTAATGATTATTTGTACTGGAATTTTCAGATTATTTGCAAAACTATCGAACTTTTTTCAGAAAATTTTTGATACTATCAAAAGTATTTGATAAGCTGATGGTCGATTACTTGAAAAAACTAATGTATAGACGTCACTCTGTATTTATTTTGAAAAAAATAATATTGAATTAAAGTCATTATTGTTTTAAAATTTATTCATGGAATTTCTATGGTGTCGATATTATAATATATTTTGAGCAAACCCAGGAATGCTTTGATGCATCTTAGGTACTTAGTAGAAAGTCTTGCAGCTCTAGTTCCAATATTACTTTATAAACCACTCAAACGTCATTCAACAGCCAGAATACCCACCTTGTTCAGGTAACTGAAGTTCGTTCCCCTCACAGCGGGCGGGACTTGAGCTACTTGGCGGGGAACCCCACGTAGAGAACGTGCCTGAGGCTTTGGCGCCGTCAAGTGGCAATCGAGGACCTCTCCGAAGATTTGAATATTGGAACGGATGGAGGGCGATCGTGTGGCGGAGGCGGCAACCTGCTGCCACTAAACATTTTAATTAGAAAATTTTGCACAGCCAGTTGAGCCGACCACAAATCCAATTATCAAGTAATTATGCATTTAATTTGGCACAGCGGTGTGGAGTCGTGGCAGACTCTTCATGGGGCAGTCATTAATGCAGATGGCTAGCCATCAAATCAGCTCAACTCGACACCAACAAACAACGCCCACACATGTGTGTATGCAAAATAACAAAAACTTTTTGCCGCATAACTTTGGGCGCCAAGGCTTGAAAATTTCAATTTTGTGTGTGTCTAGCCTCGTGATTTCCTCCCCCACCCCCATTCACGAGGGCTTACTGTACTATCTGCCATGCAATTAAAAGTTGTTTCCATGTTTTGTCTGCTCCCAGACGCTTATTA